CCAGAGGGAGGCCGGTCATATGGGGGGCGCTCATATGGCGGACGCTCGCCAGAAGGAGGCTGTTCGTATGGAGGGCGGTCTTGGGGTGGCTGTCCGTATGGCGGGCGGTTGTCATACGGGGGGCGGTCATAGCCTCCGGGAGCCTGCCCGTATGGAGGCTGTCCATATGGCTGGCCATACGGGGCTTGAGGGGGAGCACCGTAGTACGACATGGTATAGACAGACAGTTGGTGTAAAAAGAAATATGGGAGAGAGGGAATAAGAACTGTGAGATAGAATGAAAGCAAGCAGGTTGGGCAGGTTTAAATATATCGCTCAATCTGGTGAGGAGGGGAAAGAGCAGCCCTAGTCAGGTCTCAATTCACTACACCCCTGTATGGAGTCTCCAGACGCTAAGTTAATGACAATGAGACCTCAGGAGCCTCCGCGGGCGCGGAGGCTTGAAAACCATTCGCTAGCAGTGAGATACATATCACTAGAGTATCCACTACATTACTGGTTGCATGGGGAAGTGTCAATAGTCTGGCGGGTGGTGGTGCTGCAGATCTGGCCTCTCAGATGCAAAATTAGGCAGATACATATTTGATGGCCGAATTTCATCCATACCCCTGATTGTTTCCAATCCCACAGCGCTAAATGAAGCACAGAAACCGACCTCAGAATCCAATGGGGGAGGGACGTGCTTCATCCTCCCGCCACAGGTTCGACCTGCCACTCTGAGGTCTCTGGCCGTTGAGAGCCGTGTTTCATTTGAGAGAGATAGTATGACATGTTCGATCATGGGCATCAACCCCACCATACCCTACAAAAACGCTGCCTGTGGAGGGTCCCTTGGCGCCACTAAAAGGAATATCTGACTTATGATGACACATCCAATCGGAGTCCCTTTTCTCTAGGCATCAGCCACACCGGCGTATCACCATTGAACCCCTCCAATGATCCTTGCTGAGTTGTGACAAGCCACAAATCCCGCATCCATGGATAATGGAGGGGTTCTCCATCCTCACAACTGACGCCGAGTCCTTGCACCCTACAATTTTAAAATGACCATAGGTCACATGCTGTCAGAAAATTATCATGTCCATAATATCGTGAGGAAGAGAAAAGAATCCGATAGTACGTTGTATTGTAGTTGCTAGAATTACGAATAAATTGGACCAACGGGGGTCATGCAAGAGTTCCCCCGGCATTGTCGGCATCAGAACATGAGCGACGTGAGCAAAAAAGACTGGAGACTCGCCACGTGTGACTCAGCCAGTGGCTGTGGCTATGCGCCCAGCCACAGCCCGTTCCGGAAGATTCCTTCAAAGTGGATCGAATGTGGCCTTGTGTCTCCTTTTTCTTCTTGCTGGCATCGTGTTTCCATTGTGGGATCTTGGCGTTGAGGCCGTCTCCCCAGCAACTGCGACTGTTCAATATTAAAGCGGAGCATCCTTAATTGGGCGGATATAGGAAGGTGGGCTCTTCAATATGAGGATCTCATTTTGATAAACTGCTCCGTATTTATGGTAATTTAAATTATTTGATTTCATGAACGGAGGTATCCTAGCCATTCATGATATATCAGTACATATTAGCTATTGCACCGAGCGCCTGTAACTCAATGCTGGTCTGCAACGTAGTTGGTAAGGGTATACAAGGTTCAAACTAGCATGGAACCTGAGGTCCTGAACAAGGTGTCAAGGACGTGTATTTGACAGCCATAAGGTGTGTTTATACCTGCCGTCGCTTTGTTGTTACTTTCTCTGAGATAAACTGTCTAGTCGAGATATCATACCTAGTATCATGATGGTATTCCCGTCGTGACTAGTGGTATATTTTTCTATGCTTGAGGAGGGCTTTTTTTTGTATCGAGACTTCACAGTGAATATAGGATAAGTTCCTTCTGCGACTGTCAAAGTTCGTAAATCCTATTCTGGCATTCCATGTGGAACTATGTACAAGGAACTATTCTCCCGGTCTCTCCCATCTTATGGGTCTAGAATCTCAAATATAAGTGTACCCAGGACTCCCTTGCGATATAGTGCATGATAACGCCAATCCGAACATCCTGTCGCAGGTCGTATAGAGAGTACTCGTCGGTGATATTAATCTACCGTAAAATATCTTAATAAACACAGGAACTCATTATTCCTCAAGGTCGTATGCACTTTTAAACTTATCATATATAATATTGCATACTGTTTAAGGAACTGCTAGAATGAAAAGACAGATTACTTTCGGCACAAAATCTCACCATGCAGCATTCCAAACCAGCCCTGCTCCGCATCCACAAACTCCTTCCATCCCTCGGAGATGCTTTCTAATTTGTCCTTGGTCGCAAATCCCTCCTCGAGAGCCGTCGTCGCAAACCCAGACGACCTCGCTCTGGCTCCCATTGATCCACCCCAGTATTGTCTCTCCTCGGGGGTACTAAAGCACCACGAGCCAGTGCTTTTCTGAATTTTAGACTGCCCGAATCCGGCCTCCTCAGCCCAAACATGAATAATCCGCCCCGGATGTGGATTGCCCCCTTTAGCCTTTGCCATTCGTGCAGTGATATCAAGCCATGCCTCAATGCCCTTGTTTTCCGGATACCAAGTCATAACCGATGATTCTCGTGCTGCGACGAGTCCACCGGGTTTCACCACGCGTCGCATTTCCTGCAAGGCTTTGACTGGGTCTGCAATATGCTGTAGCACCTGATGGACGTGAACGATATCGAAGGTATTATCGGGGAAATCAAGGGAGTGGATATCCCCCACTCGGAATTCAATGTTCGTCACGCCTTTTGATGATGCCAGCTCGCGGGCCTGATCCAGGGGGTCAGGTACATATTCAATTCCAATAACATGGCCTTGGGGTGCACGGCTTGCGAAGTCAACACTAATTGAGCCAGGGCCGCAGCCGATGTCGAGAATCTTGGAGGTAGGGGTTATATGTGGGAGAAGGTAGGCAGTGGAATTGGACGCAGTGCGCCAATTGTGAGTCTGAAGAACAGAGGTTGAGTGATCGGTTGTATAGACTCCCATTGTGATTGTTGTACTAGAATGTCTGATTTTGTTACTATTAAGGTTAATGAATGTTACGATGAAGGTCGAACTTGGGAACGTTTATATAGTAGACGAGGTCGGGAGGGGTCTGGTGGAGAACTGGGGACTCCGAGACGGAATTCCGATAGTGACGTGCCGCCTCGGCATTAGTCGCATTAACAACCATGGATATGGACACAGACTCCGAATATCATCATCCCGAACTCATCCGCCGACTGCACCCATCGCTCGATTCTTTCTCTGCGCTCAGCTGAGCCCGTCTCCGCTGATCTCCATAGTTCTGAGATCTCCAACATCCCATCCTCCCACCGTAAGAGGTGTCTATCATATTCCCTGCTCCAGGTTTCCCGGTCTTCGGCTTCCCATAATGCCTTGTTGCCCGGCGCATACACTCCTCTCATTTCATCTGCCACAAAATTTGGAAGTAGCCTATCTGCGTTGTACACGCTGCTAAAAAGGTACATAGTGAAAACAGCGCGACGCTTGGCGGCGACCACAATCCAGGACTCCCACGTCGGCCGAGCATGGGCTAATTCTGCGGCGCAGAAGAGGCCATTCCGGGCAGTCCGGAAGGCCATCTCCATGAGGGTGATCATTATCTTATCATTGACAAGGGATGAACCACCTCGTGGGGAGAAGTATAGCATAATTGTATACAGTAAGTAGGCTTGGAAAGCTGCGAGGAGCTCGTAGTCATTTTCAGGATGCTGGAACTATTAGCTTCCCACAATGTCACAAAGAACGTTTCAACGTGTAGAGATACCTCTTCAGCCAGTCGTTCCATTTCCTTTTCCAGCGTACTCATTACCATCATCTCACTTCCTGGTACCGCCTGTTCCCACATTCGTACCAGACTGTAGCAGTTTGCAAGTGATCGAGGTAATTCTTTCCTTTCAATCTGTGAGCGATGAATTATGGGAGGAACATCCTTATCTTTCAGCATAAACCGTGGATAAGTGCTCAATATCCGTGAAATGTACTGCAACGTGTAAGGGTGGTAAACCTTGGGTATCTCGTCTTGCCCCAAGGGCGGTAGAATATAAGGTCTCAACCAGCGATCTCGAATATCCTCCGCATTAGCGCTCGGTACTAAATCAACCGTTCGAAAATCAAGCCCATCTCCGTCTCTCCAGCCACTGGTGGCTTGTCTCCGTACATGAAAGTGACTAGACGGGCTCCAGGCTGTACTCGAAGGAGTACTGGCAAGAGGCAGAGGAATGGGCATGGCAGACGTTGAATCAAAACGAGGTGTAGAATATACTGCCGAGCTGGGGTATACGGCAGCCCCAGCGTTTTCTGTAAGACTCCCTTCTCCAGGAGGGGAGTCTTGTGTCAACGCTGAGGCAGAATATTCGCAGACACGACCTGTCGATCTACACCGCGAACAGGCAGGTTTTTCGAGACTGCAGCGAACTTTCGATTTCGTGCAGCTATTGCAAGCCTTCTTGCGTGGGGGACGCTGTTTGGGATGATGGCTTTCTGATGTGGGCATGGTTTGCGATACAGTTTGGTAGACTTCGGGAATGATGTTGTCCTCGGCAGGTTCGGAATTCCGATATCCTTGGTGGCATTATGCGACTACAGGCGGGTATGCGGACCAAGTATGTATTTTTCATATCAGCTTGAGTATTTTGCCGAGGTCTAATTACTCCTACCACCAAAACTGTTTTTCTGCACAAAACATTGCAAGGCTTTCCATGTCACCTAGCAGGGATTCCAACTTTTCATTTGATTCAGTGATTGATCTTGAAGTATAGAGCAAGAAGAATAAGCGCTCCATGACTGTGTACCGGAGTAATCCAAAAGAAATCCCAGAGTAATATTCGATTACCTGATGAGAATATTTACTGATACGTGATACTGGTGTCATTCACTCGATCCGCAGAATACTCTGTCTTCACATACACGTCAACTTAATGGAATGGACTTGAGCGATTTTCACCCATACCATATTTTAAACGCTGCGAAGCTCTGTACCACCACCTGCAACCACATTTAATCGGAATCACAAAAGTTGATATCGGAATCTTCCGAAAATAGCCATACAATTTCATTCTGTCAATCATTAGCTAAATTCCGACAATATGGTAACTCATACTCACACCATACCATATATCAAGGAACACTATATCTCTTTCAAGGGGAGTAGTGCGTGGCAGCGCTTTAATCCGAATAAGACTCAACTGATTGTCAGTGTAGGTTAAGTAAAATCGTAGAACATTATCATCCTGGAAGAATATCTCTTCTATATCCGGCTGTATCTGCGTACTCTCGTACCATCGACCTAGGATGCATATTGCATCATCGTTGTAATAAAGAAGGATTCCTGTACAACGAGAATTCATATAGCAAGCTTTGATTGTGCGAATGTTTCTAAACGAGGCTCGTGAGGAGAACCGAAGGTATATATCAGTTCGCAAGAGGTCCACCACAGGAGAATCCGGTCTCATTTGTGGTTGAAGATCGCGTTGTAAGTCTATTGGGGACTTAAGTGGCTGACAGATTGTTCCCAAGCTCGTGAAGCTAGGTAGGCCAGGAGACACATCATAGTAAAGGCCGAGGATTTCTCCATCTTCTGGACCATATATTTTCTTCATCCTGGTTTTTAAAGGCGGAAGAGAAGGCCCGAGAAAGTATTGTCTGTCTTTGCTGGTTGTAATCTAGGTAAGATTAGCATGTGTTTCAACAGAATTGGCTATACATACAGCAAGATAACGATTGTACAACGAATCACTTTGATGCCAGTAGACATAAATCGACGTTATAGTATCTGAGCAGTCAAATTGAATATGGATAGGGCAACCGTGCTGTTCGCCATACCACGATACCGTAGAAGGCTGCTCTCTAGGTTCTGTAGAACGATGGTGGGTTCCCAAACCAACAAGTCCTTTATCGGAGCAAAATGCGGTGATTCCGTACAGCAGCTGATTCTTTCGTAGAGGTATGTATGTCATATATCGCCGAGACTGGGTTGCGAAATCGAAATGACGCGGCCAATCGTAAAATAGCTTCGGAGAGAGTCAACACAGCTTGTCGCAAGGCACCGAAGATAGCCAAAAGAAATCATGTCCGAATGTCAATTTGTCGTGAGAGCTGGCCATGGAAATTTTCCAGACCTAGATTGATATCAGCCTCAAGCACTATTCTCATATGAAAGGCTTCATACATCCCAATCAATGTCCACGCAGACGGGCCTTGTTCTTCGACACGAAACAACATGAAAGAGCTTGCTACTTTCTAAATCGTCCACATTGCTCGAACTGGCTTCAGTCTCCGTTAAGAACTTCAGCTTCTGGAGTCCGTAAGTACCCAAGCTGAAGACACAGGCAGTACTAGAAGCTGGTACTGAAACCAAAAGCGAAGAATTGCCCATGTGGCCGTAAAGTATGTGCCCTTGACGAATGCCGCATATATATGTCCCCTTCAGGATATCTGTGAAATAAACCACCAGCTCCCCATGTAAAGAGATAGTCGCACGTCCAGTTGAATAGGGAAGACATGACCAAATACTCTTTGCAGCATTCAGTGCAAGTAAACACCGGATAGCACTGGGGTTAAGGAAATCCCATATAATGACACCCAGCTCGACTGGCAGATTTCCGCATCTTCCTAACAATTCCAAAAGCATGCCGTCATCATTTTTGCGGCGAGGATCTTTAAACAAGGCGACTATTGCGTTAGAATAGAAGGCATATGTTCTATAAATCTCTTGCGGAAGCCCAGTCCATACGAGTGGTGTTGTTGCAAGGGTAAGATTTGAAAGGGTGCGAGGGATTGGAAGATCCACTACAGCTGCTTTGCAAAGACTGTGGATAGCAGGAGTATAGATTGCTCTCCTTCGCGGCTGACTATAAACTTGAATGGATAGTCCCTCCAAGTGGATCACTGGAGTACCTTCGAAGCTTATAGCTTGAGTCACAACTGGATCCTTGCGTGTAGGAAGCGATAAAACTTTATGGATCAGCGCACAGTTTGATTAACATTAGACCTCAGATACCTAAATAGCAGGGGATATTCCCACTAATTTTCTGTCCACAGAGTACGCAATGAGGCAGCCTTACATACTGGCAAGGCTTTTGCGCGGGAAGTCCCATTATATGACGTGCGAGATGGAAATACTGAGAAACTCGAATAGGTCGTCGATAATACGAAGCGGCATTATCTGTGATTTATGGACCTTGAGAGCGGTCTACAAATGTACACAGCAAATGATAATCGGTCTGCTACTCACCGTCTTTCTCTACCTTGCATCTCCCGAGAAAGTTAAACTACAAGATTTGATCACATTATATACAATAAGGTGGCATTTGGCAGCAAGTGAAGAGTGGAATATCATATCACTGAATTACTAGAGATAACGCTTATCTACCGCGCACTAGGGCAAGCCAGAATGGCATACGATTTGTAGTTAAAAAGAAAGGGGTCCGTCAACGAGCCCAAAAAGCAACAATCCCATCAAAGTCTTTCACGTCAAGCTTTTCACATCTCGATCCTCCTGGGTGATTTCCTTCCTCAAACGACAGGCAACCCTTAAGCTGATGGATGCTTTCGGCATTTTGCCCATTGTTTCGAAAATCATGCCCTTGAGAGAAGTACTGCGAGCGATCTCATTTTTGTGTGCAGTCGGATCAACAGACCAAATGTCCAGCGCCAGGTTGAGCATAGATCTAAAAGAAGTTAGGGATTTTTCAGCAGTCCGAGGAGAATTATTACACCTACATCGCCTCTTTGCACCGGCCCAAGCGGGCAAAGTGCTCGGCCACCTTATGGGCAACATTTGCAGTATAGAAATCTTTATCGCCAACCGTGGCGCGCATGTGGTCCAACGCTCGGTGATGGAATTCCAAACTTTCATCCCATTGGCTTTGTGCAGCACGGAGATTACCGAGTACAGAAAGAATCAGCCCAGTGCGGACGGATTCTCGATCATTTTTGCCCAAAGCCTTTTCTCTGCCGGCCAAGCTATCCAGCAGGAGCGTGTTGCACTCTTCAAGCTTGCCCTGCGCGAGAAGAGCCCAGCTCAGATTAGCCTCACCTGACCGGGGAACGTAGTTTCCGAGATCTTTGCGGATCTGCAGCGCCTTTTTGAGATTAGCTTCGCCCTCTTTGTACCGTCCGTCCTGGATGCGTGAGATCCCTCGTTCTGCGTAGGCGAGGTACAACCTCTCGTCCGCAGTTCCCAGCTCCTTGCAGATACTGGAAACCAAATCAAAGGAAAGCTGTTTAAATACGCGGCTTCCATTGAAATCATTAGTGTCCATGGCAATAGACCCTAAGCAGAAGTATATATCTGCAAGCAGCGAATCCCGATCTGGGTGTGCGGACGACTCGCAAATACCGCGAGCAGTTTCGAAGAAGCATATATGCAATTGGCTGGGTTCCTCATGAAAAGCAGCTCCAAAGACCAAAGGAGGTTATACAGCAAATCAAGGCAGGCTTAATGGAACACTCCAACACTGAAACGAAAATGATTGCGTTGCTAGCTCATTTCCCTTTCGATGATCATGATGAAGACGTATAGGACAGCTAATGTAGCTAACCATATTTATTGTTAATGGAGTTCCGTTTCGTATTTGACCATCGACGTAACAAATAATGTCACGGTTCTCCAGGCGCTCTCTATAGTCAATTAGCACCAAGAAAAACAGAATACCCCGAATTGATTTACGTCGCAGACGGTACAGCCTGTAAAGTGTCCACTGCTACTCCGTAGAGTGGTACGGCTCGACCCGAACCCGCCCCGAACCCACTGATTTCTGGGGGCGGGTTTGGAAGGCAAAATCCGCTACCTCTAGTACAGCGCTAGTACTCATAAGTCAAGAGTGCCAGGCGGCAAATGCCGGCAGTTTCGGTTTCGGGAAAAGCGCGGCCTCGCGTTATACAAGACAGCCTGAGGCACACGCGTCGTTGGTTTGCGTTCGACTGCTTTCGAAAGGATGATAAGAACAATCTTCTCAAGAGCCTTGTCGAGACAACATTCGATACGCATATATCAATCGTCAATACGTTATAGATCATGTGCCATTCCCAAACACCAGTACCATACGTCGCAGAATACTAGAGAGCTCGACCCGCGTAGTCGACGAAGTCGTACAAGGAGCGTCCAGTATGCCTTCGACCCAGTCAACATTGCGGCCGCGAATCGACCATCCAATCTATTCTCCTTCCTACGCCCTGATAGCGTTTCGCTCTCCATCTTCCAGCACGCGAATTCCATCGTCCCGTCCAGCCTTGGTGTCCCATGGCCCACCTCGTTCCCTTCCTGCTTACAGTCGAAATACTGGGTAGAAATGGAGGAGACGGCAAGGGCATATACCGAAGAACTTCTAGCCCAACAACCGGAAAGGTATCAAGCGAAATATATTGAGGCAATGATCGATGCGGCAGTCTCGCTACCGGTAATTGCGGCTCCAATGGGCAACTTGACGAGGATGAAGGTCCTCGCAAAGCTCTACGTCTTAGTCTTTATCAGTGATGGTGATTGAACGTGTGGATATTGGTTGATTGATTTTAGCTAAATTTTCGGCAGATCTGGTTGATTCCGGGAATGTATGCTCCGTCCACGCCGATTCGGGTCGTTGAAGCGGAAGGTTGACCTAGACACCGCAGCGATTGACGATGATACCCAATCATATCGAGGGGAAAGAGGAACAAGGACCAGAGTATACATTCTACAATATGTTGGCTAAAGAGATCCTCTCGGAAGATATTGTTAAGGGGAAACGACTGCTGGAAAGTTGCATATCCTGGATATCGGCGACCCAACAAACGCCCCCTGAGTCGTTTCCCACATTAGAGGATTATATGGCGTATCGGGCGGATGATGCGGGAGGATAGTACGTCCGGTGACTGATTTACAGCGAGCAACACTAACCCTGCCAGTGCCGTGTTCCGCAGTATGGAATTCGCTTGCGATGTTTCCTTTTCCGACACTGATTTCGAAGCCGTCGCGCGTCTCAGATCGCTCTGTGAAAAGCATTTCTTACTAACCAATGACCTGTACTCCTATGCTAAAGAAGCAGTCGCAGCACAGAAGCATGGCACTTCTGTCCTCAACGCCGTTAGAGTCGTTCAGCGCTTGATGAACATCTCTGAAGATTCGGCAAAAACGTGTGTTCGCCAACTTATCTGGGATGTAGAACGCCAGATGAACGAGGAATATCAACGTCTTCTTCCGGGTGCACCACAGTCGCAGCTAACATACGCTCAGGGTTTGATTGTCTGCGTTGCAGGGAACATGTTCTTCTCAGCGACCTGTGCTCGTTACGCGCGAGTCGTTGAGGGTTCGAGATTGCATACCTAGATCCATTGTAGACGTCATTGCACATATTGACCCTCGTTCGACAGTCTATCCAGTTAAAGTATATATCAACCTGTGAAGCACACCAATTTCAGTAGTGTACAGACTACCATAAACCCAAACACCAAACGACCATTCTATGCAAACAGGTATCCCCGAGGAAAAATAACAAAAGTAAAGAAGGATGGAGGGGAAAGGCTAAAACTTATAAACCTGTCCCTTCTCAAACCCCAGTCTACTCAAAATCCCGCTCTTCCCAACTAACGACTCCTCCATGGCAGGCGGCCCACAAACAAACACCTTCGCATCCTCCCCCTTCCCATCAACAACCCCCTTCAAAAGCTCCTCGGTCACATATCCCTTCTTCAATCCCTCCTTTTCCCCCTCCAACCGACTAATCGTATAAACATACTCAAACCGCCCAGGAAACCGCCGCTTATACTCCTCCAGTTCCTCCCTGAGCAGCAAATCCTGCTCGCTATTCACCCCGAACACGAGCTTGATCTTTGTCTTATCATTCGGGTTATCCAAAATCCCCCGGATAAGCTGGTAGATGGGGGTTATGCCGGCTCCGCCGGCTATAGCGTAGATCTGGGGGTATTGGTTCGGAACCCAGGAGAAACCCTTGAGGGCTGTGAGGAAGGTGAGAGTGTCCCCGGGGACAAGGGAGTGGATGTGGGTGCTTGCTTTGCCGTTGGGGTATTGTTTTACCATTAGTTCTAGGGAGCCTTGCTGGTCTGTTTCTTGTTTAGCTGTTGTCTAGTCTAGTATGGACGTAGATACTGGAGGAATCGAATCACTCACTCAGATCACCGATTGGGGTGTATGGTCTGATAACGGGTAGCCACCGGCCAGTTGGTCGGGAGAGGGTAAGTAGTGCCGCTGGTATACATTAGCAATTATCATATAGTCTCTCTCCCATTATGCAGAGAGAGAAACTCCCAAAGAGAACATACAAGTCAACGACAACCCACTCCTGGCATTCTTGTCCGGAAACTCAAACACAAGCCGCTTCGTATTATGATTCACAGCCTTGACACTCTGCACGCGCAGAGTCGTAAGCCCGAACCCGGAGAACATAACGGGCGACTCGTCTGATTCCGCGTGAGCCTGGGGAAGAAGATACGATCGAGTGCAATAGGCGCCAATGCCGAAGACAGCAAGCGCGGAGAACAGAGTAGTTTTTGTCGTTAGGGACGGGGGAAGTCGTCTGATTTGAGCCATACTCTTTATAAGTAGTAGAGATTGATGGTCCACTCAGCATGTACCCTAGAAACAGTTACATATAGGTCGAGGTACGCACATAGTGTCTATTTATACGTGACCTCTCTGCCCGACCGATAAGTATCGGACGCTACGGGTCCCGATCACCGACGGTTACACGAACTGAATTGTCCATCGGGAACTACTCCGTACGACACGGAATAATCTGTATTTATTCGGGCAATCAAGTTTAGCTGTTGCGTGTCTCACGGGCTCAATCCGGCGTTCGGTGGTCGTAAAGGCCGATGGATGTTGATCGGCTCCTGCGGTCATTCTCGGCTTTTGTCGGGTTTTGGAAATGGGTGCATATAGCTTACCTTGGAAATGCAATTATGGCACCACATTGTGGGTAGTTTTCTTAGCCACATCATGTCAGAAGTGGCAATGTGAGGGATAAACCGACCAGAGGTCTAATAATACACATTTTCTAGCAGTTTATCTGATTCCCCACATAGGGTGTGAATTGTTCAAGATATACGACGCGTCTCGCAGTCCACCACATGGAGGTCGAAATAAGCTCCAGAGCCTTAAGCATATTGCTGATAAACATATTGATCCTTAGCCTTGCTCTAGCCCATGCTTCTATCGGTTTGAGTGGATTAAGAGAGTAGTATGAAAATCCCGCGAATAAGGCGTTCGACGACATGCTAGCCACAGTATATATTGTGAGCCTATGACCTGTGGCCGTCTTATTATGTATCATGCTAACGGCTTTCCTACGTTTCTCTGTAAAAGACTAGCTAGTAATTCCATACCAAAGTTAACACAGTGGGAGATGATCCTCTTATTAGGGAAATGAATCCTAAGAGCAAGTTCTCTCCCTTAGTTAGGACGCGGAGAGTCCAGCGAGAGACAGTAGGGCCAAGACATCCGCTGCCAAGGGCCCTAAATGAAAGTGGTAAAGTCCTCACATGACGGGGCTGGTATAAATTCCCCCCGCACGTTGCGAATTTCCCCGCGTTTTCCTCTTTCTTGTTTTACCCGACAAATGGGGAATACCATCTGCTTTAATGTGAGCAGTTCTTCTACCATAAAATTGCAACTTCAATACAAAAAAATGTCGGACTCGTAGACTGGTCGCCAGCGATCCAGGCCTTCACATATCAGGGTATTAAACCCCAGCCGCGACAAGTCCCCCATGGCCAATCATCCATGTGCGAGCGTCGTTAGCTGTCTGCCTCTAAGTACCCAAAGCAATGGATACCAATAACCATGTTGGCGTTTGCCTACGAGCGACTCGCATTGTCTCTCGATGATCTTGTCGTGCGTCAGCATGAAACTCGTTATCCTACATTCTTAAAATACATTGTAAACCTGGTAGAGGATGCTGGTGCTAGAAGCCAGCTTGGTAACGAGATATTGTGCTCTGGTCACAACAGCCCGCGTCTCTACGGACCTGCGTCTTCGATGTCATTATATATTCTCCCAGAATGCTTTTTCTATAAACATAATCACAGAGGATTAGATGAATAGGCCAGAGAAGACGGACCGTTTATAGCTCTCTTGGTTATTCCAATAGGTGGTGTCATGCTGTACCTCGGGTCCGGTGGCTCCAAACTCCCATCCAAGCTTGATCTTCGTCCACTGCATGAGATGGCTGGCAACTTTCAGATGACCGACATCCGTTGGATGACCGCCCGGAGAGATATCATTGTGCTGGAGAATGCCCTTTGTGTCGAAGTAATGCACGTATCCATCCTTTTCAAAATACTGGTATACCTTCTGAACTTCGGATTCATAGATGGGTTTCTGCACCCAGGTTGAGCTGGACTTGACGAAATTACCCCAGAGGGACTACTGATATCAGCAAAACCGATCACTAGACGAGAATGGGGGCGTACCATGAGGACAATCTGTGCATCAGGCCAAACGCTATGCACTTTCTCCACCATTTTAACGTAACTCTGGTAGTAATTGTCGCTAGGAATATTGTTCTTGGCCCTGCCGTCATTCGTGCCCAGGTTGATTATCACTAGGTCGGCTGCACGATGAGCGGTGAAATTCCATGATTCAGGCTTATCACCGAAGGCCGCATTCGCACGGTCGCCTGCATCTGAAGCGTGGGACCATTGATACGTCTGCGGGGGATGGTCAATAATAATCATTTCGTGGTGAACGGGTCGTATACCATGCCGCGAGCATCGCCGCCATAACATTGCTTGTCTACCAAGCATATTCCGGGGTACGCCTTTCGCAGTTAGAATGACGGTAGTATGTTAAATAAGAGGAACACATACCGTTATCGTATATTCAGCATTGCCCAAACCAGCCGCGAAGTTAAAACCCCACGAGGCAAGACCCTCGTAAGTAGCGTACTGCCCTGATGCGAGCCTTCCAGTCGATAGTCAGTAAAACCTTTAGGTCTTGTCCAGAGAATTTTGAAAACTAACGAATCTCCAATTATTTCCACCGTCCTATTGAACTCTGCGGCTTTTACCAACCGCGCGTCCGAAGCAACAGACACGCCGTTAATCTGAACTGTGTGGATTGTAAGCAACGAGCATGAAGGTTGAGCCGATAAACTTATCCATAGCCCCAGTTCGTGACTAAGTCGATCAGTATGTGCACGTATCATGTTCAATTCTGTTAAAATACCTCGCATTTCAAATGTCTTGTCATCTGCATACTCTGTTTCATTCAGTGCCGACGATCCAGGCTTGACGAACTGATAGGCTGAATCGGCCGTAACGTTCGAGAACTCCCAATCAAGCCCACCAATCCTATAAAGTCAGAAAATCAGAAACAGTCCCACAAATAACCCAGGCTCACGCGTACCGATAAGCGACAAGCACATTCTTTGACGTATTTTCACCAAAGCTCACGGCCAGCTATTGATACCTGTCAGCCACCGATAGAGATCAAACTCCAAGCAGCAGTACAACTCACCTTATCGCCCGTAAATCCAAACTTGACACCAGGAACACTGAAGCAATCAGCTATCGTCATCAGGAAAGAATAGCCAAACATACGACCACCCTAACAAAACATATTAGCGTCAATCCTAGAAGAACATGTATTCCCATCACTCACAAGAAGTATAAGTACTATCCCACCGCCCCTTATATGAGATCTCCGACGCGCCAGCCTCGTATATCTTCCAAGAGTCATCAATAGAAACCTCCTCCGCTTGTCCAGGATAAGGATTCAGCCTCGCCTGCCCATTCTCCAAGATCGTAGCAGCAGCCTGGAACGCCAAAGCTAACGCCAACAGCGAAAACCGCATTTTAAACACCAAGATGCAATTGTGTCCCTCAGATTAGACACACAGAGACGAGAACCAAATAAGAAAACTACACCATCGAGCAAAGACCATCAGATTTTAAATCCAAACTAGCGTCATGCAAGGGAATGCACTCCTGTCTTATCTCATTTGTGTAGAAAACCTGAAATCGTTCGGTGGCTGGGATGATATTTACTGAATAAATCCTAGATTCATTCAGCAGTGCGATGGCACGCCAGCTTTCTCCATTTTTGCGCTGCGTAGCCGATTAAATGCCGAGTTGGGTTGCCAATCACTTCCTTTCTGAGGGGCTTATTTGCTTTCGGTGTGGGTCGCGAAGTAATAGATCGCACAATGCGGTCAATGGGTGGGCTGGGGATTCTGCTTTGCGTTCAATGGCGATCAGGGGGTTTGTCTCATGTTTTGGCATCCTGGAATATGATCTGATATCAACAGGAGCAAGGGATGGAGAATTCCACAGTCTAGGGCAGACACGTGACGTCATGGATGTGCTTGGGAAATTAGAAGTGACTAAGCTGTTGAGACTTGGATGTTCAGATAGTAGTCCTTAGCCCGGTTTTTTATGAACATAATCTTAATGATTTGGTAGTCATATGTAAATCTGGTGAGCCACTGGGTTAGATCAGCGGATTGATCTGGTAGCCAACTTGCATTATGTCGTACAATGCAGGTATAATATATCACATATGCAGCTCGGTGAATGGATCATCCTCTGTGGTACTGCTGGCAGAAAGGGTATGAGCAAGAGTAGGAAGGATCTCGACCGTCTACTTTGTGCATATAATTAGGTCTAACATGTGAATCAAAAAGGTCATTCAATTCGATCGATCACAAGGGTCCCTTTTGCGATCTCGTTACCGATCCCAAGGAATATATTGGTGTTGCAATAAATTCGCTGATTAGGCAAAGCAGTTAATGAGATACCTTGTCTTTTAGTATGCACTGAAGGAAGTTCAAACATATGGCTGGATTGAATACAAGCTGCCTTTGAAAACACTGCCTTCTCTCGCTCCTTCTATCCATCCCTCTTTCTTGTTTGCTTCAAGAACTCATTGGGCCACACTTTTGAATCCCAGCTCATCGAAGTGAAAATTCAACCGATATGTGGACCTCCAGTAAACGACTCATGTCCCATAGCTGATCATCACGAGACAATGCCAGTCATCGCCGACGCAGTCTTATGACAGTTTAGATGACTGCTCAGGCGCGAGCTTAGATAAATGGGCATTGGCCGAAGTGTTGCAACTTCCCCAAGATGCCGAGTGTCAATCATTTGATGTTTTGTATGAGGTACTTTGGAGAACATCCTGAGCTGGAATTCGTCTACGCGTTCAACGTAACTAGGTAACATAAGGCAGAGAATGGCAAGCCTGTACAATTGGACACAGGCTGGAAGCGTGGTACGAGCCGTCTCCCGCAAATCTACCTATCTCCGGCTTACCCCCGTGGAGAGTAATGTGATATTGTCAAGCCGCAACTGGTAATGGGTGGGGAATATTACGCAGAAAGCTGAACAACTGAGTTATATGTGGTTACACCATCTTACCACTGGGGTAAGCAGAACCAAGTCATATACATGATATGATGAGACTTTTCAACGTGGAGAGTTCAACCTTTTGTGTTGTGTTGGGTGGGGAGGAGTAAACTGCCACACTCCTGGCCCAGTGTGATCGAAAGGATATTCTCATGAGGTTATTCCCCTTTCACCTTATATCGAGAGTTGAGCCCAAGAAGGCAAGATCTATCCCATGAATCACCATCAAGGCCGGTCTTTGTTCAATGGCGCTGTGTTTCAATACCCATACAGCATACTATCGTTGTACTCTAGCTGGAAACGGAACGCTCTTTGAATTAAAACCATAATGGCGGACAAGGAAAATGGGCCTGGGGATTGCAGATACCGGGATACAGCACAGGGCGTCAAATCAACCCCGTTATGGAAAGCCTCGAAGATCTCAAAAAATCTTCGTGCAGTGTTTCCTAGCACCAGGACAGAAAACCGGCCGATGATACTTATAAAAAGGAAATACCAGGAGCTAAAGGAAAAGTTCAAGAACTTACGAGTACATTATAACCTTGGGATTCAGAAATTGCAAGTCTAAGTCACTGTCATCGAACAGCAAGAGCGTGTGATCCGATATTTTCAAGATATAGGGAATAACGATTCTCTACCTAGTCAGTTGAAACCAACTACGTTATTCAAGTTTCAATTCTACTAAGGTACCTTCCCCGCTTACGACGAATCCAGAAGAAGAATTCTATCCCCTTATCCATTTATCGGGCAGGATAATTGGGAGACAGGCCTGTTCCTGGATAAAGATTAGGATGCCAATGACCTGGTATAACCAGGTTTTCTTTTCGGAGAGATAATGCGGCGCCTTATATAATATTCATTAGTTAACAAATAGTTTCTGGTTCCGTCCTCGTTGACCTTGTTCTTAGTTTATCACATACATCGATAGCCTTCAGGACGTGATCCACAATTCAGTCTACATTGACCTCCTGGAGGTGTTCCTTAATTCATACGTGACAATACCTATGTACTGACATTATCAACTGGAATGCGAAGAGTTTCTTCCAGCACTCAGACGCCATTTACCATAATGAACTACCGCGTGGCAAGGCAGATGTAATCAAAAGTGGGTCGGCAGCACTAGGAATAAAATATAATTACTACAACGGTCTTCTTCACAAGTAGGATGTATCCTCTTACTAGGATTGTAAAATAACTATGAAATATCACATTCTAGACCAACTTCATATCTAATAGTTGCGAAAGAGAACGGAAGGCCCATATTGCCAAAATATTTCCATGGGTACAATCACCCGTTTAAATTCGGGACCTGGCTTCAAATCCACCGGTAAAAGTAGAAGTCTTAATATCCGGCGGCGTTTGCAAGATATCAGTAATTGCCTTCCCAAATTCTTTGAAAGCTACCGACTGAGCGTGGCTTTTAAGTGCATGTTCACTGGCATATCTTTCCCGATTGACGTCAGAATCCATGATACGAAGCTCTTATGAGACGGCTGATTTACTTACTTCTCGACAATTACCAGTTGATCCTTGCCCTTTGGTTGAACAGCATAGTAGAGGAGCGTTTCAGGTTCGTGAATCTGGACATATTGAGACAGTTTGTTGAAGGCTTGGATCAACTGCGAAATTGTTAGCGGCGAGTGAACTGGGGAGGATACAGGGGCTAAAGCTTCGCCCGGGTGTATTAATGTTTTCCGTACGTCGGTGAGCTTCCCATCTTGAGGAACAAGGGTCACGATATTGTGAATAGCTTCAGAAGGCATGGTATAACATAGACAGAATTTGTAGCTGCTATGGAAGATAGCAATCGTTACTCAGTTGCAAGGAATAACACCACAAAAAGGACCTGATTCAAAGCTTATGTATGGGTGAAAGGAAGTCTAATGAAACTGAGAGTGAGTTGTGATGTGATCTGTGCCTCGGAGAGATGGCTTTTTGTTCTCATAAACTTGACTGGTCTATTATAATCATAGTTCTGATCGGCGTTCGGATATTGTAATCAAGAGGAAATTGAAGAATATCCAGAAGCAAAACCGGGAATAGATTATGGAATCCATGCATTTTTGTGTATCGATATTATAATCAAAGAATCAAACACTGAGGGAGCACATGAGAGTAGGCTGCCTCGGTTAGTAAATACATTCATATGAAGTATAACCGTAGCATCGTATAACTGTAGCTTGATATTCTTTTCCTACCCTGTTTAATGTCTCCCATCATCCTTTTGTTAACAAGATGAGCGACAACAATCAAGAAAAGAAGCCATACGACCACGACACTATCATCATCGGAGCAGGCATATCGGGGATCAACACCGCATACCGCGTTCAACAGGAGCTGCCAAACTTCAGCTATGCGATACTCGAAGCCCGAGGTGCATTAGGTGGAACCTGGGATCTCTTTCGATATCCAGGTATTCGGTCTGATTCTGACTTATTCACATTTGGCTTTTCGTGGTACCCCTGGACCGCTTCTAGCCAGATTGTTGATGGCTCTGCGATACGGGAGTATATGCGGGAAGCAGCTGCTACCCATGGCATTGACAAAGCTATAATGTACAATCACAGAGTTGATACTGCTTCCTGGTCTTCCCCAGATCAACTATGGACCCTTGATATCACGCATAATGGCAACAAGAAGACCCTCCGAGCCCGATTCCTTGTTTTCGGTACTGGATACTACGACTACCATCAACCTCTTTCCGCCAGCATTCCAGGCTTGACGAGTTTCCGAGGATTGACCATCCACCCGCAGTTTTGGCCTGAGGACTGCGACTACGATGGCAAGAGAGTGGTTATCATCGGCAGTGGTGCAACTGCTATAACTCTCCTCCCGAAGCTCTCTGAGACCGCAGTAAAGGTTACCATGTTGCAGCGCAGTCCATCTTACATCATGTCGATCCCGAGCCAGACAAAGCGAACCTGGTTGACACGTCTCCTACCCACTAGCATGTTTCTCAAGCTGAACCGTGTCCTTAAGATCGTATTATCTAGACTGTTCTTTCTCTTCTGTCGCTCATTTCCGACCACGGCGCGATCGGTCCTTCGACGCCGAACCCTGCAACAATTACCAGAGGGAATACCGCACGACCCCCACTTCAAGCCTAGATACAACCCCTGGGACCAACGGCTATGTATCTGTCCCGACGGAGATTTCTACAAGAGTCTGCACACAGGAAGAGCAGACATAAAGACCGACACAATCAAGTTGATAACCGAGTCAGGAATCCAGTTGGGCTCCGGTGAATTTCTCGATGCCGATATCATCATCACAGCTACGGGGCTTAAACTCCAAATTGGAGCCGGAATCGACATTACTATTGATCAACAACCCTACAAGATACCCGACAAGTTCCTGTGGCATGGCATTCTGATTGAGGATCTTCCAAATGCCGCGTTGGTGATTGGATATGCCAATATCTCGTGGACGTTAGGGGCTGATGTGACAGGGAGAATACTCTGCCGTCTTTTGAAGCACATGGAAAGAGGGGGGTTTGGTGCGGTTATTCCGAGAGTACAGAGCGGGCTGACTCTGCAGCGCCGTAAGCTGTTGAATTTGAGTTCGACATATGTTACTGAGGCGGAAAAGGACCTACCAAAGGTGGGTGATAGAGGTCCTTGGAAGGCTAGGAGTAACTATCTTTCTGATCTTATCTTCGCCAAATACGGGAAGCTTAACGAGTCGTTGGAGTTTATTAGGAAGTCGGTTTGTGACATTGAGAGCGATTGTACTTAGTCTACTATATGGTGTCTTGGTTTGTATTGCTGTGAACTCCTTGGGCTCTTCGCCGAGATGACTATTATGCAATTCTCCGAGTGAAGTATATGATATACTCTCATAATAATAACCACTCACGCTATATGAGACATGGTCAATGTTTATCTCATTGTTTGAGATGAATCTCGGTATCACTAGATGGGAATCATCTTTGCGCATATGTTGCTTGACGTCTGTTCTTTTATACTCTCGCTCCAATATCTATTGCCATTCTTGCTCGTTCCCCTACTGAAGCCGGTGATTTCTTCCACCACAATAGAAGACTGTTATTTTCGATATGTCATGTACAGAGTAGTCCATTTTCTGAAGGATCACAGAGTGAAATGATCCTACGTCACCTGCCTTGATTTCTAATATCTCATTACTGCTATTGCTCGCCAAATAGAGGCAGGAAAAGCTTCGGCTGGTACTACCGGCGATATGCACTATTACCTGTCTCCAAGATAGCTGGTAAATACTGTCTCATGTAGTGCTTAGCTTGAGAATTTGTGCTGCGCATGCTCAACCGATGGACCTTGGCTACCGGATAATCTTTGATTACAATACCACCGGTATCAACCTATCTCAGATCCTCGGTCTGTAAACTTTGAGCCCAGCAATTTCGGGTGCAATAATATCTAGCCGGCTTACTTACTTACACCTGGACTCTTCCTATATTCCG